GGATGAAGTGCAGTTAGTTTTTTGAGCCAGTAGGTGTGGATCATGTCAGGGCCTATTGCTGTCCAGCTCTTCATACCTGCCGCTCTTTCTTGGAAATCTGCTTTTGTAATGGTTACTGGTTCCCTGGCAACTGACGCGGACCTTTTTAACCCGGGCGACGTCCGAGCCGGTATGGCTCTTGTATTTGCGGTTTCACTCATGCCTGAGGTAGGCCACTAAGCACAAAGGACCTTGCCTAAGGGTCCACCTGGATGTCCGTACTGGGAATTGAACACACGGTCACCTGTACCGGCGTCGTCGGTGTTACCTACTGACATAGTACGTATGTATGTATGTATGTATAAATATATATAGGTATATATATACATATATATACATATATATATATATATACATATATATATATATACATGTATATATATATAAATATATATATAAAATTTATTTTTTTTCTGTTGAAAATGATGGAATTACTTTGACTTTGACTTTTTACGTACCTGAGTGGCCCCCAGTGATAACATTTCATTAATGGAAGAGCAGAAGGTGATTAAAACAAGAGAGCTAGTCTCTAAAACAGACATGGCTAGGGCTGAATGCTAACATGTTTGTTAGCTGGCAGAATTCAGTCAGAATTATGACAGGTTAAAGTCAAATTTTTTACACTGAAATAAAATGTAAAAATCAGCTAACTTTTTTTATTTTTTCAGTTGCCCTAATCCTCTTCCAGAAGTGTTTGCTTTCTGCAATGCCTGTTTTTGTATGTTTTTTTTTATAAATGATGGTCCTGTTTTCAGTTTGTTTTTTTATTTTATAAAAAAAAGAAGCGAATTAATCATTTTTACTGCCTTCTAAATAAGAACACATTGAATTAAATTTTTTTTTTCTTGTTCTGGGTTTGATGCTTCCTCCTACCTGCTGAGGAGTGTCCTGACACCTGCTGACTGGAGACCAGCGACCTGGAGCTCAGACCTTCAGGACACAGGAGAAAACAATCAGCTACAAAAAGTTTCTACAGGAAAATACCTGATATAAAACCTATTAAGAACAAACAGCCTTTATTCCTTTAATCAAGACGTTCCTGTAAAGAGTGGTTGTTTTTTCCAGAGTGTGCTTTTAATTCTAATATCCATGTCACCTGGGGAAAAATGTGAAGTTTACATTGATTTCATAAACATTATGTGCTAATTCAGAGCATTGAAAAAAGGTTCATGTGCCGACAGATAAACATCGAGACAAATCGCTTCTTGTTAAAGGAAAAGTTCGCTAATATTTAGAAATCAAGCTTCTGAAAGTTCTTTAAACCTGAAATGATTCCATCCTGTTCAATAAATGATCAGTGTTTTTAATTCAGAGTAATTTTCATGTGAA